CAGCTCACATCTTAAGAGCTTTTATATACAGTATCTCCCTGTCTGTTTGTTTTCTGCTGTAGGCTTGGGCCGTTGTTCTCTCTATACGTGTGTTAGTGTGCGTGTGCTCTTCCACTCACTGCAGATGCCACAGAGTGTGAATGCATGCAAGTGTGCACATGCATGGGTGTACGTATGTGTGTAAAATGAAAGGATGGAAGTATACAAGACTGACATTTTGTTGGCACTGCTCCTAAACACATAACAGTAGAAAAGAAAAACAAACAATAAGAAATATAGCTTCATTTCGCTAAAGTCAGAGAAAAGATGGATACCTCGGCCCATGTAGAGTCATCTAAAGGTTAAGATAATCCTACTTTTTAGAACATGGTTAAAGATCACAGGTTTTCCTATTTCAGTTGTTCTGAACCTAACTTTTCTGAGTCATCTTTTTGATGGAAACTGCAAACAGTTTTGATCCCACCTACAGTAAATTTACTTTACATACACGTTTAGTAGTGTAAATCTCGTCCAAACAGTCAGGTGTACTTACACATTGTGATGCATTATACTAATCTTCTACATGTTATAATACTATTTTGAATAAATAACACATTATGTTATTAAATATTATCACACATATTAGTATTAACATATTGGTAGTACTTATTTGGAAACGAAGTTAGTTGCTTGCCTGCTGTTTAATTTATAACGTCATGTGGAAAGAGATAAAAATGAAGCAATTAAAGCCAAGAAGTGCACACATTGTAAACATTAAAATGGTTTTGAAAATTACTTCTGGATAAACAGAGAAATTGTAACATTCTGCTTTGAGATATATTATTAGAGCACAGGCCCAGTCTTTTGATAATCCAGAAATAGAGTGAAATACAACTTGTTTCTGTTTTGCTAAAGCCAGCCCTACTTCCAAGTGCAGCCTGTCTGCATGTACTTTAGAAGAGTTAAAAATAGACAGAGGGCCAAACGGTTGAGCAGGAGAAGGGAAATGATCTGAGAGATGACTTTTCAAAATTTGATTAAATCAGACTGAAGAATATTTGCATCTTAATTTAGGTTTCAGCCTGTTATGCCATTACAGGGCTGGTGCAGCAACAGGATGGGAGTTGCTCCAATGGGAATGGACATGGACAGACCTTTTTATATAATTATCTTTTTCTGCAGAATCTGAATCACTCTCAGTATTAGCAGTAAGACGACATAATACAAACACTACCGGTCAAAGGTTTGGACACATTTTCCTGTTGAATTGAATGCTGAAGTGTCTCCAAGCTTTTGACTGATACACGGACCACAGGTTTCAATATTAGTGCAGGGAGACGCCGCAGGACATTCAAAGGGTAATAAACTTAATTAACATTTTGTCACTTCACAGTCTCCTGGTCTGGTCAAGCATGAGTCAAGGTTGAATGATGTATTGTGCCTTTCTACCAGTACCTACATCTTCCGTTTTCTAGTTTTATCTCTCCCCCATTTACTGATTAGATTTTATTTGAGCAGTTGTTCCATTTGTTAAGCACAGACTCCCCAAACACACACACACACACACACACATATATATGAAACAAAAGCTATTAAATTGGTCAAACAAATTTTTGTTATGCAAACGTATGAACAATTTCACCTCACACACTGCTTTTGTTGGAGAATAATGTTCCCTTTGAATAAACATTCATTTGAAAAATGTGTCAAAGTGTTCTGGCAGAAAAGCAAAGTACAACCTCCCTCCTCCTCTGACTTTTGACTCTCACCTTTTTCGCCATTTTCTCACACTTAGTCCAAGCTCGCAGTATCTTTTTGAACACTCATCTTGCGATGCTGTGCAACGCCAGATAGGAAAACACAGATTTCTCTCTGTCGCAGCAGCAGCATGAGCAGCAGTCATAGCTAGCTCAAGGGCTGCCTATATTGTTGCTACCCCCTCTCACAAATCTCAGCAGCTATCAGAGAACTACTGTATATAACCTCTCACTGTCTTCATGAATATTTAGATGTTTATCCTCTCTGTGTCTAGTGTTTATTGCATATCTCAGTGTTTAGAGTAAAGTGTGTGTTTACTGTATGTTTAGTTTGTGATTCCACATTAAGGTTTAGCAATGTTGTGATTAAATTTTGATGTTAGCAGACACTATGATATGAGAGGTCATTTGATTTTTCACTAATTTAGTAATTTGATGACACCACGAGACCCACAAACATAATTTTACCTTCACTGAACACTGTTATGCCTACACCGGCTATGAGTTTATCTAGAAAGTCACACCACCGAATTCCTGATACATCAAATAATGAAATATTTAATATAAAATAAAGCATTCCTGCCCATCAGTGACCTCATACAACCAAGATTTGATGGTTGACAAACATCTCTCATATATATATGTGTGTGTATAAAACTGCTTGTGCAAAATTTGTTTAAAAATATTTTTGAGGTATTTGGAAATAGGCTTTTAAAAGCACTTTTCATACAGACTGTTATGACTTAATGCAACAAATGTAATGCTTTTTAGAAAATTAATTTAGAAAAGTGCCACTTTGTCAGTCCTTGCTACATATTCATTGTTCTAGAACTTTAAATACCGTACAGAAGCCTTTGTTAATGAATGCTACCTCCCTCCTTTCTCCTCTCCTCCTCCTGTTTTCGCTGTCTTTGCTCTTCCTCTGCGCCCCGCTCCAGATCATCAGTAACATGGAGGCTCCAGTGACAAACGGCCCCAGCGGAGGAGGCACCACAGCCAACGGGCCGACCACCAACAGCCGCAGCTGCCCCTCACCCATGCAGACTGGTCCAACAAATGACGACAGCAAGACCAACCTTATTGTGAACTACCTGCCCCAGAATATGACCCAGGAGGAGTTTCGCAGCCTGTTTGGTAGCATCGGTGAGATCGAGTCCTGCAAGCTGGTTCGCGACAAGATCACAGGTACAGACCTGAGGCCGTCTTATTGAGTTATTGCTGCTTGTGTTTTGGAAAACATCAACTTTTGACAAACTAAGAATATAATCTATACAGAAACAATATAACCTGAGGTGTGTTTTAATCGAATGAGTTTCACAAACATCATAAACTCAAAGTCTGTAGGACTGCCAATGTATCCGGTAAATAAACATCACCTAAAGTGAAGTCAAAAGGCTTTCAATGACAATATGATGCATTCACAAGTAGAAATAGGGAGAAATCAGGATATAATGTGTGATGATTTGGTAGTCCCCAGAGGCAGTTCCAAGTACAAGGTGAGCTACTATTACTGAGCTTCGATAGAGCTGGCAGGGATATACAGTAGATGCTTGCTTTTTATTTCTTTGTAAAATAGTCTGATTCTGGGATATTAACACTGGATTTCCCCTTTATCACAGTCATTTACTTTTAGTGTCAAGCTTTGAAAGTATAATACAAATTCTCAATAAACCCTGGTGGGGGGGGGTGGCAGGAGCCAATCCCGGCTGGCAATCGGGTGAAGGCGGGGGACACCCTGGACAGGTCGCCAATCCATCGCAGGGCTAACACAGAGACGAACAACCACACACAAACTCCTATGGGCAATTTAGAGACACCAATCAACCTAAACTGCATGTCTTTGGACCGTGGGAGGAAGGACCTTATATAAGGTGGGAGGAAGCCGGAGTACCCGGAGAGAACCCACGCAAGCACAGGGAGAACATGCAAACTCCACACAGAAAGGTCCCACGTGGGGCCCGAACCCAGAACCTTCTCGCTGTGAGGTCACGGCGCTAATCACTGTGCCATCGTGCTGCCCTGTTTTCATATTTGAGTTTATAATTAAAGCAAAATGGTAAGAATAATAAAATAGTTAATAGACACAAAGGTGATGAAGAAGACGGCTTACGTGACTGTTTGGATACCACTGGAGGATCAAAGGTAGCTATAGATACAGTCTGGCCGTATGTTGTGCGTTGAATGTAGGCTCACATGTAAAGAATTAAATATGACATGAGCAGCTGACACGTGTGCCCGTCCTCAGTCACTCCAGCATCATTTCAAACAATTCAAGTGTTTGAGAGGAATCACTACATACATTGCTTTCTATAAGGAGAAATCCATCTCTGCCAACTGTCTGTGTTCAAGCGCTGCTACTCAGCAACGCAGCACAGTGCCACATGTTCTCCAGAGGTGTTTAAATTAAGCAGCACTTCGCAGTGCTAATCATGGCTATAATCTGGGCGTAGTGGTGGTGTGGGTGGTCATACAGCAGATGGATCAGGGGGGTTGGGATGGTGCAGCTCTGTGATAATGCTCCATAATGGCTTTCATTTTAGATCCTACTTACTGACACTCTTCTGCTGATAATCTCATTAAAGAACACCAGGCAGCCAGGCAGGCAGTTGAGATTGCCAAGCCGTTCTCGGTTTGCAGACAGGCACGCAAGGCAAGGAGAGTAAACATATGCAGATATAGATGTGAGCATAATCACTGTGTTAGATTTCCTGTAACAGATTAAGTACAACCAAAAGTCCGACAGGAGTGACAATTCTGCAGTGGTGGAAGAAGCACTCAGATCCCTTAATTAAGTAAAAGTACCACAGTGTAAGACTACTCTTACAAGTCAGTCCTGCATTCAAAATGTTAAAAAGAACAAAAGTATTAGCATCAAAACATACTTAAAGTACTAGAAGTCAAAGTATTCATCATGTAGAATAGCATATTTAAATTAATGTACATCTTTTTATTGGATTATAATTGCTGAAGTGTTATCGTGTACATCACATTTAATGTTGCAGTTGGTAAAGGGGAGATAGGTTTAACTAGTTTATATTCTTATGTATATATGTGAAGTACTGCTGGGTAGTACAGTACTCGAGTAAATATACTTGGATAGTTTCCACCACTGCAGTTCTGACTGTAAACCAGAGATGGCCACTGGCCCAGCCACTCCTGCCTTATTCTCGGTCTTTGAAGCATATTGCTGCAGCTCTCTGATTTCTCTTTAGGATCATCTTCCTCTTCCTCTGTAATGGGCCACAAAATGGAACCTGGGAGTCAGATACACCAGTATAATGGAGGATGGTGTGTACAGAAATAACACACTATCATATCACCATCACTGTGTTTCCTCTCTACGCGATTTTCCCCTTAAGTGTGATTTGCCAAGTGGCAAGCGAGCTAACAGCAGATATTTGGAAAGATTTTCAAAAGAAGAGAATTGCTCGAGCACTAAATGGGGATTGTGAGAGAGGTAGAAATGTTTGTTCACTCACTCCTAAAACCATTTAGGATACTTCTCTGCGCTGCACTACAAGGTTTCTCTCTGATGACTTAGCATCAATGCAAAAAGTTATAAATAAATCTTGCCCTCCTTCCATCTCTCTCTGTGGTGTGTGGCTGTTTTTCTTTCCCATGGGTGCGGTTTTCTCATGCAAACCTTTAGGCTAACAAATCACAGAGTCCCTCTTCCAGCAGGGAACGCCAAGAGGCTTCATACTCTCCAAGTCATTAACAGACTAAGCCTGGTTTGCGAGTGGGAGGGGTAGAGAGAAGAGAACATTTACTGAGGCTGTTAAAGAGTATTCACCTGCACTGTGTCCACTCTCATCTGTCAGAAATGTCTGCACAGTGATATAAGAAAGATCTACTTCTGCCATTTAGACATTCTAATCAGGATAAAGAGAGGAAAAGAGATCTTTGTTACATTGAAATTTCACAACAAAACTGCAGAATGTGTCTGGAGGATAGTTTGAGTGTTCTGTAGCTACATGTTATTCATATTGATAGGAAGAAGGCTCTGCTGCCTTCATATTCTGTTATGCAGTGTGATGTGTATGAAGACAGAACAACAGAAAGTTTGGGAATTTAAACAAATTCACTAAATGAACTAGGATAATAGTTTGAGTATTTTATCGTTACAAGATTGAAGTATTAATGGAATTCATTGATTCAAGCTGTTTTGTGGTACTACAAGTAAGAGTGGTTACGTTTCATGTTTTATGCTACTTCTTTATCAGCTTTATTATTTAAATGCACTCAGTTCTAAAATATTTGTTTGCTCACATCTTATGATGCATTTCCTATGGGTGTTTGCGTCTCGGCTAACCTGTGAGCATTTGCTGACAAGGTGCGAGTACATGAACCTCTCAGAGGTAGGAGAGACAGACAGGTCCTCAGCATCCTCTCAGCTTCCTGTGAACTTGCTCCTGTCAGCTCTAATGACACCAGCGTTTCATAAGGCTTGGGTGGGTGTGGACAGGCGTAGATAGTCCAGCTCCCTCTAACACCCTGGCTGACTTCAGCTGATAGAAAAGCCACCTCTGGGTGTCTTTCCTGTTCACCACACACCTGCCTACCTTCCTGCTTGCCTGCCTGTTCACACAGCTACCTCTGCCTGGTGCTCTCACAACACACCAGGGACATTGCAGGTTAATCTTTTATTTAGTTGATCTTACACACACCTAGCTGCAGCCCACACATATCTGCACATAAGCCCCAGGCCTCCACCTGCGGATCTCCTTGCTGCCTGATATCGTAAATGTTTTGTTGTTTAAGTGTGTATACTGTAGTAGCTATTACCTTTGTCCTCCTACACTGCACATACAAATTCTTACATCAAGGGTGTGGTAGTTTTGAGACCCCGTGCACGATTTATATGCGAAGTACTGATGGTTAGAGCCATCGGTGTGAGTTGGCACCGTAGATGGCCGCCTCGGTTATATGCCGGAAACGAATTCCTTGTGTGTAACATACTTGGCAAAATAAAGGTGATTGATTGTTATCCTTATAGTTGCACTTACAACACTCTCTGAAGTCAAATGTCCGTTTAAGATTGCCACACTAAAAGCTCACATCTTGTATCCCAAGATGTGAGCAAAAACATAATAACACTTGTGGAGAGCTTAGAAAAATTAATGTGGACCTGGAAGTACACTGAATCAACACTCTACACATGCTCATGCAAACTTTTAGGCTAACAAAGCACAGAGTCCCTCTTCCAGCAGGGAACGCCAAGAGGCTTCATACTCTCTAAGTCATTAACAGACTAAGCCTGGTTTGCGAGTGGGAGGGGTAGAGAGAAGAGAACATTTACTGAGGCTGTTAAAGAGTATTCACCTGCACTGTGTCCATTCTCATCTGTCAGAAATGTCTGCACAGTGATATAAGAAAGATCTACTTCTGCCATTTAGACATTCTAATCAGGATAAAGAGAGGAAGTGGAATTGTCTGATTCTTGTCAGTAAGTTATTTTTATGGTTCATTTTTCTGCATCAGCTGCTGGAGAAATGAATGCCTTTGTTTTCATAATGACATGGAGGAGGAGAAAATATGATGTTATTCTGCACCAAGAACTGATTGCACTGGGGAGGTGAGGGGGGGAGATTTTATATGTACTGTATATGGACATATAGGATTTCTCATGTTTTACCAATAATTACAGAAGCCAAAAGCTCAGTAGTGTTACTCTGTGGAGATAGATGTGGATGCATTTTACTTGCCTGTTGAGTAAACAGTAAACACCATGCTTACCAGCTGCTACATCTGCCCTGTCCTGTTTGCCTGTGTTAGTTTTCTCAGGTAGTCACAGCTTTTCCTGAGTGCCAGCTCTCAGCAGCAAACTCCACTCATCTATTAATGGTGGGATGCTCATTTTTTCAGTTTATGCACATGAAATAATTCTTGTGTCTACATCAAACCGTGTAAAGACATCATTCCTAAGCACACTCTCTGAAGCCTTCTGTGCACACTAGTCTAGTCACCTTCCATGTGTTGCTTTTATACTTGGAATCTAAGGAGCTGATACAAATCATTGTGACAATAGAGAAACAGATGCTGGCTATGAAAAATAGATGGACTGTGATGCCAGTGGTGGAAAAGTTAAAGCTGGAGTTCATCTGACAGCAGCTTCAGTTCCATGTGAAAACCTTCTTGAACCCAGTTCTTACATAAGAACAGGTTTGCTATGTTCATGTAGTTTA